GGGTGCCACATGTGGAGCAGGATCTGCTTACCCTTCCGGAGCACCTGAGATCACCCCCAGTTTTTGGTGGGGTTCGTGTTGCTTAGTCTTTAGTTTTCTATGTTGTGTCATCTGTACTATTATTTGTCTGTTTGCCTTTTTATTTTTGGTCATGGCGTTGTCAGTTTGTTTTCGATCTATGAGTTTGACTGTCCTTCTGGTATCTTTCGTCCCTCTTTTAGACCCCTCTAAATGAGAGACTACACTATTTTGAACATCTTAATACAAATGGAGGAGATAACAGAGAAATAGCATTTATTCCGATCAGCGATAAAAATAACAAAAATGCCGTTGAAGAACAAATTAAAGTTTCCGAAAAAGGTTTTGATTCGTTGGGAAGATCTATCAAACGAAAATCTTATTGCATCAATCTGGGAACAGTATATCTAACGGGAAATGAATCTGATACGCTTTTCAGTATAAAATTGATAAAATCTCGGACTCCCCGAGACTTCCCGAGATTTACGGATTTTGGTAGCGTCTGACTGAAAAACTATCAGAACTGCTCAACTAATAAACCACATAACTCTACTTGTAAATAAATACAAGTTTTATCATTTAGTAGATATATTTTGTTATATAAAATTAACAAAATAAGTTTGATTTATTTGATGTGAAGTGTTTTACAATAGTTTGGGAATTTGTAAATCATCGCGGCAATGGCCGCCATTTTTTTATTACCTGGTTTGCATTCTGCACAATTCTGTGATGAAATGCTTTCGATTTTAACAAATTTGAAGTGACAGAATACAAGTTTGATACACTAGCATTACTGTAAAACTAGTTTGAATGACATTTTATTGATAATATCAGAAATTATTAGGATAATAGCGAGTCCGTTTTTAACACATGTCCGTTTCTGTATCGTATCTTTATTAACTATGGCACGACGATAAAATCGACTACAATCAGGTAGTGTCAAGTCCCGTCAATATATATGTTCCTGCATCAATATATATTTCACAACATCTTCTGTACTCTTTAATGGAAAAGGACTGAACACATTTTGTGAAACAGATCTTCCGGTAATTGTAGTTAAAATGAAAGAATGTCAAATCAACGGGAAAGATGTAAATTTAAATGAGCTAAACAAAATTTTCGAAGAGGTGATTTTAATGGAAAAACAAGGAAAAGAAGATTGCAATAACAATTCTGTAAAAGATTTAAATAAAACGGAACCATTAAATTCCGGTGGTACATGTACCATTCAAATATCAAGTTCCAATAACAACACAATAAAATCAATAAAAGATGATGTATCGTCGAATACAGATCGGGAACCGTCAACTTCGTCAGTAGCTACAACTACAGATACTCCAGATGATATACAAGCAAAAATTAAAGATATAAATTCGACTAATTCAAATGACAAAAGCACATGTTCAGATGAAATTGATGATAAATTACCACAGTTGAATATGCAAGACTTCATTACAACTCTAAACAAATTAACTACTGTTGTAACACATTTAAAAGACAAAGTTGACGAATTAGAAATATCTATACAAGCAAACAATTTGTCAAATGCGAGTAGTATGCACATTTTAAATGATCGCATGACAGCTTTGGCAAAGGTGCGCATGCAACATGATCAACAGTCAATGGATAAAATGCAGGATATTGAAGTAGAAATTCAAAATGTTAATAAAAATTTGGATAAAAAAGTTAACATGTTACAAGGAAAAACACAGAGCATAAGTGATAAAATAAAACTCTACGAAGCGGAAACAGTTAAATTACAAAAAAGCTTTACGCAGGTGGAAAATCTCAGTAACCAATGTACCCAAATGTTAGATGAAGATCAAACAATTCCAAAAACAACATTTGAAAATTTATTACAAGAACCTATACATGAACAAGAACAGCTTATCTTTGAAACAGAACAGCCAATAAATGCTGATTTAATTAAAGAACCACAAAATCCTGTGTATGACACACAACTGAAACTGCCTTTATCAGGAAGTAGAGTTTTAATTGCAGGAAGTTCAGTTCTAAAAGGAATAAACCCATCTAAATTAAAAGAGTATATAGATGTTCATGTTCACAGAGGAGCAAATGTTCTAGATTTGTACGATGACATTAGAAGTATGGATCTGAGTTCATACAATACAATGATAATTCATGTCGGGGGCAATGATGCAAGCAGCAAAATGAATATACAACAATTTGTGGACATTTACCAAGAAATTATTAACTATGTAAGAAGTCAAAACTTTCGAGCAATTGTGTCTGGAATATTGCCAAGGATACAATGTGATGTCACTGAATATGACACAATCCTAAAACAAATGTGTCATCATAATGATGTCAAATTTATATCAAATTATGAATCTTTTGTCTACAGGGATGATCATATAGCTAAATCATTTTACACTATAGATGGCATTCATCTAAATAGATATGGAACAATAAAGCTGTTGACAAATGTAAATAAAATAATTAAAGTATTCAAGGGAAAACCACAACAGTATCATTTGAACCAACAAAACAGAAATAGATTGCAAAGTTCCGGTCACCAATATTACACAAACAACTTCAGAAGGAGCCCTATAAAACCAAGATATCAATCACGGAGTAACATGAACACAACAGAAAGCAGAAGAAATTTCAACCATTCAGGAGTCAACACTAAAAACGTAAAGGACAGGAATGATCTCAATATGAACTCTCGTGACTCGTGGGGAAACAATAATGCGCTAAATAGACAAAATGTAGATAGAGCACCATTTTTTGACTTCCATTTACCAAATTCTGTACGTAAGTCAGATTATATTCAGAGGTAGCATTTAGCTTGTTCTAATTTTTCAAACAGATATAATATTTTAAATCTGTTATGTGATCAATGTAGTAGTATACAATGTACATGTAATATAAACAACATTAATAATATTAATTGGGGAAAATCTCAAAAGAGAAATAGAAAGAGTCAAAATAAAACACATTGTTCTGTAAATAGAAGTAGAAATAATGAAGCAAGTTGGTTACTTAAAAAAGGGTTTAAACTAGGTTGTTTAAATATTCAACATTTACAACCCAAAATTGAAGAAATAAAATTCCTATTAAAATATGAACAATTATTTGATATATTTGGTATGGTAGAAACATTTTTAAATGATGAAATTGGTACCGAAACATTACAAATTGAAGGTTACAAAATAGAAAGAAAAGATCGAAACGCTATTAATGATGGCGGAGGTGTGATTGCGTACATACGAAATAGTGTATGTCACCAGAGAAGAATCGATTTAGAAATAGGTAGTATTGAATCTTTATGGATTGAAATTATTTTTCCAAACACAAACTCTATTTTAATAGGCATTTTTTATCGTCCACCGAGTTCATTGCAATCTTGGATTGATTCAGTTGAAAAAGAAATAGAAAAAGCATCAGCAGAAAATAAAGAAATTATACTTTTAAGAGATTTCAATATAAACTATTCACATATAGATCATACAGTTGTCGGAAATCAAAAATGGAAGGACTGTATTAATTTGTATGGTTTACAACAAATTGTACATAAACCCACAAGAGTAACAGATAAATGTGTAACTACTATAGACCATATTTATACTACCGATGTAGACCATATTACAGAAGTAAATGTGCCTAGTTATGCTGTCAGTGATTATTATCCTGTTTGCGTAACATGAAAACTTAACCCAAAAATATCAAAAATGGAGCATTTGTCCATAGAATATAGATCATTCAAACAATTTGATAAAAATAAATTTATTGAAAATTTAACAAGTGTGGACACAGATCAGTGTGGATAGTATGATTGGATGTTTTACAGTGTTTTATATGACAAAAGGAGTTCCATGTTTTATGTTTTCTATGTATTAACTGTGTTGCACAATGACAACCAACATGAGCATTAGGGGTGTTGTTTATGTAATATTTAGTTTTTTATGTTCAACACGGGCATGGAAGAGATACTAATTGCATTAATTACCAAATGATTATGATAGAATGTATATGTTCCACATCTTTGATTTTGGATACATTTTGTAGCTAGGAGAGGAACACATGATAGGTTCATTTTTTTCTTAATGTGATTTTTTTATACATGTATGGGAGATGGTATCTGAGAACATGTATTTGCTTACTATTTGTATGCTTCTATTTATATTACTTTGTGGGGGATTGTCAGTATCATAAGTAAAAGATTTCGGTTAAATGTGGAAATTGTTTCTCAGTTTAGAAGACATTTAATGTTTTTTAGTAATGACAATACCTGACATGATGATTGGGGCTTGATGAGCTAGAAAGTGAATTTCTGTGTTATTTTTTATTAACTCTTTGAAAATATCTCCTCCAAAGCTTGTCAAAGCAAAAAAAAGTTTTGACCAGTATGAAAATGATATCAACAAAAGAACCTTTGTGAGCATGCTTCAAAGACTCATAACTAACTACAGAAGTCATATGATAAAATGTCAAGTGGATATTATGAACATCTACTTAATATGTCTAAATATCTAAAAAGTTTTAGTATTCAATATGAAAAAGCTATTGCAAAAGTATTCTCTTTTCAGTTTTTTTTTTTTGTTATATGGATACAAATATAAGTGATACCAATACAGTAAGGCAGTTTTGTTATGGTATGAAAGTGTAGTAATTAACATTTACTGTTAATTCACATAAATTAAGAAATAAACAAATAAAGGATAAATGTTGAACATGTACAATGAAATATATTTTAGAAATCAATTAGGCCAGATAGGCCTTATAAATTTTGGTCTTTTTCTTAACATACTGAATGACCATTTACACTCAGGACTGAGTCGCCAGTAGGCAGTACAGATGTAAAAAAAAACAAAGTGTAACAAAAGAACCTAGCATCATATTGCTAGTAGCGCCAGTAGCATTGTTTGGTGAATTTGTGCTTTTTTTTTTCAGTTTGGTCAATGGACAAAAAATGTTTGGTTCAAATCTAAATAAAATGCTTTTATCTCCCTATTACTTACATTGTACATAGAATGGATACTACTTTGACAATTTCTTGTATATGAGAGTTGTCTGTCAAATCTTTATTTCACAAAGAATGAATTGCATAACAATGAACTGATCGAGCTCAAAGCAAAGCACTTTAATGATACACTTAGACAATGAGCTCAATCCAGTGATATACTTTGTACTACAGGTCATTCATGAACATCCTACTGGCCAAAACCATATCGCACAAACATGCCATACTACATGGTTGGATCAGAAGTCCTGAAAAAGACATGAACGTTTAATTATTAACATATTTTAAGTATATACACCAGTTAAAACTTTCACAAATTTGTGATAAAATTATTCAGTATCTAGCAACTATCAATCGCTTCATGCACAAATTGATATAGGTTGAGTACCCCTCTGTCAGAAATAAGAACATACCTCCACCTAATTTTAGTTAACTGATGAAGAAACATTCAAAACTATAAAATGTTATCTAATAGACTAGCTGCAATGAAATCCCAGTTTTCTAAAATGGTAGGTGGAACCTAAAACTCAAAAGATTTTAAACTATGCATTTAAAATATTGCAAATATACATGTAATAATAATTCTTCTAAAAAAATCGCTATATTTTTCCTTATTTTGTCTTTTGTTCGAGACTGTATATTGACCTCTAGATGTCTTTTAATTACATCCAGTTTGGAGTGGGTTGATGTTTGATTGTTGTACATGTTATATATCGACGTGGGATTTGTTTATATAAATTAGGCGTGAAATAATTTTGGTTAACTGAAATCCTTTAACTTACTTCCAAATTAATGTTAATACTGAGGGAAAAAATTACATTGCTAAATAACCACTTTAAAAAACATGCAAACTTTTTGAGAGGAAGGCATAATGCATGTAACATCTATTAGATCTTTTTTTAAACCATTCTAAACTACTGATAAGTGATAAAGTTTGTTAACTGTTACTTACCTTCAAAAAGGGGGTTGCATTCACTTTACTACATATACATATAAATGTTCAACAATACTGAGTGCAACACCTAGGATAAATAGAGGATTGTTTTGTAAGAATAGTTACTGAAATAAGCAGGCAATATTCAAAGTAGAATAAAAAATATTACAGGACTGTGTTTTAAAGTAATAAGCATTGTGCAGGGCTCACGTTACCATGCTACTGGGCCGACAAAGTCGTTTTCCCAGTCGCCACTTCGCTTTGACCGCCCTTCAAAAGCGAAATCTAGTCGCCCTGTTGTTTACGATACTCAAATTCAGTCGCTTTCATCATCGGTAATATTCAGCATTTACCAAGTCGATGAAACAGCAATTTTTCATTTGAAAGTAAAGAAATTCAAAGACATAAACGATTTATTTTCTTTAGGAGGTTAAACATTGATTTTAAAGTTGGTTGCATGTTATTTTCATAAAGACAATTTTTTCATCACTTTTGGTACTTGTTCAAATCATTCTAACTTTCGGCAAACTAAGCTTATCACTTCATTAGAACGTGATGAAATTAAAGATTTCTTGCTGTTGTGCAATACACTGTGCTGTTGCGCAATACTTAGTAAATCTGTCGTCAGACTATAAACAAATAAAGTTCAATTAATTCCCAGTCATATTAGAAATTTATGAAAATGTAAAGGGAGCTTGCATCAATAGATATAAACAATTCACTTAAGTTTCATGAGAATTGCTGACAGCATTTTTGAGCTATTGTCCGTAAACTGGAAAATCACCCATTTTTTAATGAATAAAACCCCATCACTCAGAAATGTAAAATGTAAAATTTATAAAATTCTAAACGGAGCTTACATGTACATCAATATAAATATAAACAATTCACCAAAGTTTCATACAAACTGCTGAAAGCATTTTTGATTTTTGTCCGAAACTGGAAAATTCCCCCATTTTTCATGAATAAAACCCTGTAACTCAGAAATGTAAAATCTAAAATATATAAAAATCGAAAGGGAACTCATGTCAATAGATATAAACAATTCACTAAAGTTTCATACAAACTGCTGAAAGCATTTTTGATTTTCGTCTGAAACTGGAAAAGCCCTCTTTTTTAAATGAATAAAACCCCATGGCCATAACTCAGTAAAATCTAAAATTTATAAAAAACGAAAGGGAGCTCATGTAAATAGATATAAACAATTCACCAAAGTTTTATGCTAATTAGTTAAAGCGGTATTGAGTTAATGTTCGGCATGTTGACAACGGACAGACAGACGGACAACGGTATACCATAGTACGTCCCGTAAACAGGCGTATAAATATGACAGGGTGTCATACCACACCAAAACCTTCTGAAGGAAACACTAATATGGCAAACAATTTTTTTTTTTCATTGACAACCCTGTATAACCTTGCAGCAGTATCGAGCTTACATGCATTACCTTGTATATTTCATGTACATTGAACTTAAAAATATGTGGTCATTGTGAAAGTTAGTTATGTCAGTTATAATTTACACATTTACTGAAACATGCCAGAGAAATGCATGTACAAACTTTTGAATTTGATCTGCAAACTGGGAAAGCCATCCTTTTTTATGAATAAAATTCCACAATTTATTAAATTGAAAGGGAGCTTGCATCAATAGATACTAGAACACACCCGCGAAATCGCGGGCATTTAGAGCGTGGTGGAAAGTATGTAAACTGTTGTAGGATGAATTTTTGTAAACGATTTTATGACTGGAGAATTTCAGGAACGGTATTAAAAGTCAAAGGTACTTGGTGACAGGACAATTTGTTTAGCCTTCCCCCCTTTTTTCCAAAGTCCGTTATTTTTTGTTTTCTGTTTTCCTGTATACTATGAACATACATAGTGAATAAAACCTCACATTTTGAAAATGTATATTATAAAATTCTTAAAAATCTAAAAGGGAGCTCACGTCAGTAGATATAATCAATTCACCAGAGTTTCATGCAAATTGGTGAAAATATTACTGAGTTAATGAACAACATGCTAGAAACAGACAGATCAGGGCAGACAGACGGACAAAGGCATACCATAATATTTCGGCTGTTGTCTGCTCTATGGTCGAGTTGTTGTCTCTTTGACACATTACCCATTTCCTTTTTCAATTTTATTTTATATACTATAAATAAAGTGTACTTGCTATTTACTATCAATTCCAAGTTTACTATCCATGGCAGTCACTGATATATTATATTTGAATTGATAGTAAATAGCAAATAAACTTTATTTATAGTATATGTATGATCATAATATACAGAAAAACACGAAAATAATTGTCCTGTCCCCATGTTCTTATGAAAATTATGTTTAATTTTAAAACATTCCTAACCTAAAGGAAATCTTGTCTATAACTTAAAAGTCTGTCCAATGACGGAAACAATATCCGGACGCCTTTATATTCGTTTTCCTCCCAAAATAACCCAAACTGAATAATCATAAGCGAGGATGACAAATGCAACTATGCATGGTACTTACAGGACACAGAGGCATGATGATTAATTTATTGTGGAAGGAAGAGAGGCGACACACAAAATGAGGTCTTCTCATTTAATAGTATAGATATATAAACAACAAGAAATGATTGTAACAGGATGCTGTTACGAAGTCTCCCAAAACGAAGCTTCCATAATTCGTAATTCCCAGGGTCGCCTGACATTGGGCAACGTCCAGTGAAAATTAGTTTGGTCCAGTAAAGTTATATGCATTAGTGATGTCTGGGGACTAACCTTGTATATCATTCAAATCATCTTGGCATGACAAACTAGAATATATATGGTTTAGGGGTGGGGATCTCGACCATTTACAAGATACTAAAAAATGGGGATGGGGAGGAACTCCTGTGGACTGACCCTATACGTCATTTAAATGTTCATTACATGACGAACAGGAATATATATGGTTTAGGAGTGGGGATCTCAACCATTTACAAGATATTAGAACATTGGGGGTGGGATGACCCCTGGGGACTGACCGTATACGTCATTCAAATGTTCGAGACATGACAAGTAGGAATATATATGGTTTAGGGGTGGGGATCTCAACCATTTACAAGATATTAGAACTTTCTCAAATGGCAGGGGGTCGGGATGACCCCTGGGGACTAACCATGTATATCATTCAAACCATCTTTGCATGACGAACCAGAATATATATGGTTTAGGGGTGGGGATCTTGACAATTAGAAGATATGAGAACTTTCTTAAATGGCAGGGGGTGGGGTGACCCCTGGGGACTAACCCTGTATATCATTCAAACCATCTTAGCATGACAAACCAGAATATATATGGTTTACGGGTGGGGATCTTGACCACTTACAAGATATTAGAACTTTCTTAAATGGCAGGGGGTGGGGGTGACCCCTGGGGACTAACCCTGTATTTTATTTGATGTGCTTTATCATGACAAACCAGAATATATATGGTTTAGGGGTGGGGATCTTGACCACTTACAAGATATTAGAACTTTCTTAAACGGCAGGGGGTGGGGGTGACCCCTGGGGACTAACCCTGTATTTCATTTGATGTGCTTTATCATGACAAACCAGAATATATATGGTTTAGGGGTGGTGATCTCGACCATTTACAAGATATTTGAACTTTCTCAAATGGCAGGGGGTCGGGATGACCACTGGGGACTATCCCTGTATATCATTCAAACCATCTTAGCATAACAAACCAAATTATATATGGTTTAGGGGTGGGGATCTTGACCACTTACAAGGTATTAGAACGTTCTTAAATGGCAGGGGGTGGGGGTGACCCCTGGGGACTAACCCTGTATTTCATTTGATGTGCTTTATCATGACAAACCAGAATATATATGGTTTAGGGGTGGGGATCTCGACCATTTACAAGATATTAGAACTTTCTCAAATGGCAGGGGGTCGGGATGACCCCTGGGGACTAACCCTGTATATCATTCAAACCATCTTAGCATAACAAACCAAAATATATATGGTTTAAGGGTTGGGATCTTGACCACTTACAAGGTATAAGAACTTTCTTAAATGGCAGGGGGTCTGGATGACCCCTGGGGACTAACCCTGTATATCATTCAAACCATCTTAGCATGACAAACCAGAATATATATGGTTTAGGGGTGGGGATCTTGACCACTTAGAAGATATTAGAACTTTCTTAAATGGCAGGGGGTGGGGGTGACCTCTGGGGACTAACCCTGTATTTCATTTGATGTGCTTTATCACGACAAACCAGAATATATATGGTTTAGGGGTGGGGATCTCGACCATTTACAAGATATTAGAACTTTCTCAAATGGCAGGGGGTCGGGATGACTCCTGGGGACTAACCCTGTATATCATTCAAACCATCTTAGCATAACAAACCAAAATATATATGGTTTAGGGGTGGGGATCTTGACCACTTACAAGGTATTAGAACGTTCTTAAATGGCAGGGGGTGGGGGTGGCCCCTAGGGACTAACCTTGTATTTCATTTAATGGGCTTTATCATTTAGAACATTTTCAATTAAAAAGATTGTGTCTATCACAAACGGTTTTCAATTTATAACCATTTGAAAATTTTAAAAAATAAAATCCCATAGGGTTCTTTAGTAAAACCCTCTTTTCTTTTTGCCCCTCAAAGTACCCCTTCAACCCCATTGCACAAACAAAACCCTGATTGCACCACTAGACATGTTAGTCTAACATATTGTGAAACCCTAAGTTAATCTGACAAGCGGTTTTGGAGAACGGGTGCGGACAAGTTCAAATTTTAAAGCGGCGGAAGAAGAAGAAGAAGAAGAAGAAGAAGAAGAAGAAGAAGAAGAAGAAGAAGAAGAAGAAGAAGAAGAAGAAGAAGAAGAAGAAGAAGAACTGAGCAAAAACAATAAGTCTTCCCAAACTTCGTTTGGGAGACTTAATTAACCAAAGTTTCATGACAAATGACAACTGCTTAAAGCATTTTCGAGTTAATGTCCGAAAACATGGAAATCCCCCTTTTTGAATGAATAAAACCCCTTACATTGTAATTGGATAATGTAAATTCTAAAATTCCAAAACAATCTAAAGGGAGCTCACATCAATACATGTACATGAATACATGTACAATCCCATATAACTCTGAAACGAGAGACCTAAAATTTATAAAATAATCAATTCACAACAGTTTCATGCAAATTGGTGAAAGCGTTGAAGAGTTAGTGAACAAAGCATTTTTCGAGTTACATTTTGTAATGGGCATTTAAAACATGAAAATCCCCCTTTTTTAATGAATAAAACCTCACATTTTGAAAATGTATATTATAAAATTCCTAAAAATCTAAAAGGGAGCTCACGTCAGTAGATATAATCAATTCACCAGAGTTTCATGCAAATTGGTAAAAATACTGTATTACTGAGTTAGTGAACAACATGCTAGAAACAGACAGATCAGGGCAGACAGACGGACAAAGGCATACCATAATATTTCTCATGAACAGGCGTATAAAAACTGGGTACCGTTCCAGGCCAACACCCTCTGAAGGAAACACTATAAGGGAGCTTCCTTTCCATTTTTATGGGGGAAAAAAGGGGGGAGTCTAGGATGAAAAATGTTGTCCTGCATTTTTTTTTTAGTTCGAGATGTAATCTGTCCTGCCTTTTTATTTTTCACTCTTTTTTGTCCTGCCTTTTTTTTCTATTAGTTTATCCCGACTTGTTTTTACATAAATTGTCAGCCTGCCTTTTTTTACATAAATTGTCATCCTACCTTTTTTTTTCATATTGTCTCATCCTGCCTTTTTTTCAAATTTCATCCTAGAACCCCCCCCCCCCCCCCCCCCCCCCCATATCTCATATCAGATAGATGATATTTGCCCGTCCAAAGTGGATGTGCTGCTTCGTTGCTTCTGGAGGCGACTGGATCCATATAAATCAAGCCTCAATTTATTCATTTTTCTCTTCATTTAAGTAAGTTTGATCAACCTGCCACCCGTTATCTTCTCATATTTGGACAGTTTTCACATTGACCCATCAATACTGGCATTTTAGAGGGTATGAATGCCCTTTACCGTCAGGCGTCAAACGGTCATTTTCGGCTACCATTAGCTTCAAATACGTTAACATTTTACCATGATTCTTCAACATATCCTTATCGTGATTCGTCAGAGGTCTCAAATAATTATCGTTATCGTTATTTTTGGGAAAAAATTAACGTGTCGGTGATTCATCAAAATCGGTCGATTTTTTTATCGTCTTGGAAGAAAGTCTTCATTTTATTGTCATGCACCAAAAATTACCGTTAACGTCATTTGGCAAGATATTTTACTGTTATTCGCCATGAAGGTACCCCCGTTACCACCCTCATTTTAACTTTCACTTTATAAGAATGTCACATGACCAACATTATGGGAACTGATTTATGCAAATGACCCTTAATCAATTGGAAAACATAATCTATATAAATCGAGCCTCAATTAGTTCATTTTTCTCTTCATTTAAGTAAGCTTAATCGACCTGCCACCCGCTATTTTCTCATGTTTGGACAGTTTTCACATTGACACATCAATACTGGCATTTTTACTTTAACTTTAAAAGATTGTGACATGACCAACAGAAAAAGTAATTTACAATGCATTATGAAAGCTGATTTATGAAAATGACCCTTATTCAATAGGAAATCATAATCTAACACCTCGTTCATTTATGGCCCGAGAACAGTTATTTCGTAGTGCATTTCTTTTAGAAAATAAAGTCAAATTAAAAAAATCGCACCTGCTCTATCTCAAAAAGATTTTTACAGTGTAGTGTACTACTATTGGGACAAATAATATCAAAATTATAGAAAAGTCTAACAGCTCTAACTCAAATTATTGACAATTCTATTTTTAGGGGGTCTAAAATTCAGTTTGGCAGCTTCAGACATACTAGTTTTTGACCTTTTTTAACTGGACCAAATCACTACTTAACATAAAGATTCAGCACCCAAATTTTTTTAACATGTAATTTCATCCCCTTTCTTAATATTTCATGCATAAAATATAAAGAAATAAATTTGGAAGGTGTATGAAAAAAATTTGCAAGTTATACACTGTCCACACTAGGGACTATATTCGTAGAAGACGATAACTGTGTCCTTGGACCTTATGATGCAAATAAGCTGAATGGCCGAGTGCGTTCAATTTGAAAATAAAGAGTTAAAATGCCAGAATCGCAAAAACAGATGTTGGACATCAGAGTAATCTAAGACTATGAGTATGAGTTTTGGGCAATTTGTAGGGGGGGGGGGGGGAGGGGAGGGTTGAAGGGAAGCAAATGCTCTTTAAATTTATATGCATGTTTCAAAAATTGGGGAAAAAATTACAGAGTTGAGTCATTTTTTCAGACTTAATTTAAATAATGACTAATGTAGACTTACCTTCTAATTCTATAAACAATTCACAACTACTGAACAGGAACAATCATGGTACTTTTTTGTCTATGAAACTACACTATGACATCTGATCTGCAAAACCTACAAACAGACACAGAAATATCATCAAATAGTGAAATATAAGATTGATTGCACCTTGTATGGATAGTTCCGACACGTGTTACATGGGGAGCCCGTTTGTTTACAAATAATAATGTCACGTGATCACGCACTGACCGTCATGTTTGAGGTGCAAATTTTTATCCTCCGCCATTATTCTCATTACACAATATTACTGTACTAACACAATTCACAAATGCATAACCCATTTATCTAGCGGACATGCAATGAGAATGTGCACGGTTATCAAAAACTACAAAAATATTGCATGTACAGTTAATGAAGAAGTTATTTCATCAAATAGATAAGATTTTCACTCATGACACAAATCGACTTGGTGTCATCGCCATCAGATATTGATAAATAGGATTAAATTGACCGCCAAGAAGGTGTAGAGAACAACCTCTGGAGAACCTTAACATTAATAAGTAATACTCACCAAAATTTCTCTATAATTAACGCCATTTTCTGTTGGAAAATTTCAGAAAGATGCTGATATACTTATTTGGTGACACAGATTATTTTCTTGATTTGGCGCGAAATATATTCTTACTCTTAATGCTTGACGTAACAAAATTTGTATAGAATTATATTTAACTAAAGCTCAGCGTAAATATGCAGAAGAATGACAATACATTAATGATAAAATGTGTAAATATTTCTGTAAAAGAATATAATTTTACTTTACCAGTATACTTCACTTAGAATTACATTTGAGCGCAAGAAAATCTCTATGTGAATCGGCTAAATCCCGGGGTCGAAGTTCAACATATCAACGGAAATTTTTGCGTGTGCTTGCGTTGCTTTAGATCGAGGCCACAGCTTTTCAACCAATCGGGGAATGTTTACTTGGGGCATACATCTATTTTTACTACAGGTTTCGACATGTTTAAATCGGGATTATAGAAAAATGGAATGTTCATGGTGGATACAAAACAGAAAATGATGAACACTTTTAGCAAAAGATAAATTGGATCGGGGGTCTGTGAATTCACATTATTTGTACAACTCTCCTTACTCTTGGGAAGCGTGTGCTTTACATCGAGGCTTGCGTTGCTTTACATCGAGGCTTGCGTTGCTTTACATCGACGCCATAGTAGTTCAACCAATCGGGGAATGTTTATTTGGGGCATACATCTATTTTTACTGCAGGTTTTGGCATATTTTAATCGAAATTAGAGAAAAATGGAATGATGTTAGGAGATATAAAACAGAAAATGATAAATATTTTTAGCTAAAGATGAATTGGATCGGGGTTCTGTGTATTCACATTATTTGTACAACTCTCCTTACTGATGGCAAAAAATGGAATTTCCGTGACCTAAATGGTTCGCGAAAATTAATATTTTATATATATATATATAGTAAAAAATACTCCTTTTCATCTCATTGAATCGATTGGAGATGTTGATGAAGCAGCTAATTATTGGTATAATCTATTTTTGAGCACCCTAGACAAGCATGCTCCTAAGAAAATTAAAAGGGTGAAAAATACTCAACAACCAGAGTGGTGGACTTCTGATATAAATAGCGCAAGACACCAAAGAGATTATTTTCATAGAATTGGGGATATATATAATTATAAAATTTGGCGTAATAAGGTCACATTTTTAGTAGAACAGGCAAAGAAAAATTATTTCCAAAATGCTATCTCAAATTGTAAAGATAGTAAAACTATCTGGAAGTATGTCAAAAGTCTAAATCCAAAAAAATTACATAATAATATCACGCATTTGGAATATAAAAATAGTGTAATTCAAAATGATGTTGATATAGCAAATACATTTAATGTGCATTTCACAAATATTGCTGAAGGTATAGTTGATAACAAATTATGTAATAATGATGAAGGTCCGAGTTTCGATGTACTCAACAAATTTGTGAAATCAAAGTTACAAAGGGGTAGTGAAAAATTCATTATACCAGAAATGAGTATTTTAGATGTAAAAATGTATTTAAAAAAACTTGACAAGTCTAAAGCAACTGGTTTAGATGATGTTGGACCAAATATTTTGAGTATGTGCAGCGATGTCATTGCACCAGCTTTAACATATCTATTTAATCTAAGCATCAAATGTGGTAAATTTCCAAGTATTTTTAAAACTGCAAGAGTTTGCCCAATTTTTAAAAGTGGCGATGCTTGTAATCCTGATAATTATAGACCAATAGCAGTATTGCCTTGTCTCTCCAAAATCATAGAACGACATATAGCTGATAGTTTGAATATATATTTAAATAGTAATGACCTTCTTAATACTACACAGTCAGGTTTCAGACCTAAACATTCGTGCACAACTGCACTTACTAAATTAGTAGATGAATGGTTAGCAAATATAGATAATGGAGAAATAAACGGAGTTATATTTTTAGATTTAAAGAAAGCTTTTGATCTGGTTAATCATATTATTTTATTAAAAAAGCTTGAATATTATAATGTTTCAAACTGTACACTAGACTGGTTTAAGTCATACTTGTTCGAACGAAGTCAACATGTTAACTTGAGGTCAATAACGTCATGTCTAATACTAAATGCATAAAAACTAGTGTACCACAAGGCTCTATCCTTGGCCCTCTGTTATTTATTTTATATATCAATGATTTACCACTGAACATAAAAAAATCATTAATAGATTTATATGCAGATGATTCTACATTACATAGTAAAGGTAATAATGTACTTCAGTTAACTGCTAACCTTCAAAATGATATTCATGTAATTGAAAACTGGTGTTCGCAAAATTGTATGAAACTAAATGCCAAAAAGTGTAAATCAATGATTATTGGTTCAAAACAGAGGCTTTATTCAACTGGGAACAGTTTAGATATCAAAATTTCAGATGAACAAATAGAGAATGTAGATTGTGAAAAACTTCTCGGTTTATATATCGACAAAAACCTAAATTGGAATGAGCAAATAGATAAAATGTCATGTACAATATCAAATAGAATCAATTTATTAAAAAAGATAAGAGAATATTTACCTATGCATATACGTATTATTTATTTTAATGCTTATATTCTGCCATTGTTTGATTATTGTTGCAATATATGGGGAAGTTGCTATGAAAGTGGAATAAATAAACTTAATAAGTTATTAAAGAAATCTGCTAGGGTTATAGTAGAAGCTGACATAATGACATCATCCAGTTTGTTGTTTAATAGTTTAAACTGGTTAAATGTGGAAAAACGCATTCAATATCAAAAGGCAATACTTGTATTTAAATCATTAAATGATATGGTTCCTAACTATTTACAAGAAAACTTTCATTTTATTGGTAATCAGAATTATAATTTACGTTCGGCTGATGAAAAACTATTAAATCTTCCGAAACCAAAAACAAACTTTTTAAAGAAAGCATTTACATATTTAGGTTCTCAAATATGAAACAGTTTACCAAATGAAATAAAAATGAGTAATACACTTGTATCTTTTAAAACAAAATGTTACAAATTTTTCATCAATTGTGCAAATTAATATGCCTTTTCATTATTATCTAGATACAATTGTATATTGTGTATAATATATCATTATAATATTGTATGTACTTATAAATTTGTTATTATTATTTTGAGGACTCTCAGGAAGATTAGTTTTAACTAATGGGATTATCCTCTTGAAATAAAGATTATTTATTTATTTATTTATTTATTTATTTAACAAGAAATTTGTTTTGCATGCACATGTATAAAAATTGCGGTTTTTATCCAACGCAATCATTGGTTTGAACGTTGTTTTCAATTTAGACTTGTATATACACATATAGATACGTCCGGTCGGAAATTAAAACGTAATTCCGATGCTTCATGTACAGTCGCTAGACCGATGACCGAGAACAATAGAAAATTCACTCTTCTTATGGAAAATCAATATTAAAACAATATCTGTGACGATACTGATCAAAAGTAATTTCGAAAACAATCGTACATTTTAAATAAATTATTTGTTAAACTGTGTTATCAGAAATATGCATGCAGAAAAACGATATTTTATGTTCATTATTTACATCGATAATTGCACTAGAAGCTTGTGAAACTGAAATGTGAAAAAAAAGGTTTATCTTAAGCTTAAGTTTGCTGCATATTGATAAAAAAAAAATGGAAACAATCATGTACATACAAAATCTAAAGATCTTTCAGGTAAAAAAATTTTCGGAGTGTTCCACATAGTAGTGAACATGTTACAATTTCCCAAAATATACCTATTTTTCACAACTTAAGTTTTCGAGTACACCGATCTGCCCATGTTACGGAAACTTTCAATATATAAATATTGTCTTTTCGTGAGTATAATAATTCAAAAGTCTTGTCTGTGCAGGTTAAACAAAAATAAAGATAAATATTTTTATAAAGTAGGTTATCAGTTTTTTTACTTTTCTTTTTTTATACAATTTTAAGAAAAGGTCTTCTCGATTTCTGTACATGTATTTGCGGTCTTCTCATCTATTAACATGTAATGTTTAAGTTGGGATAAGGTCCGTTTAAATTTGCTAAGTAACTTAATTTCAGAAGTGTTAATCTTTGCTGCATATAAATCGATTCCAATGATTTTTTCCCTGAACTTTTCTAATCTAGTTATATAAATATTAGAAGATGTGGTATGATTGCCAATGAAACAACTCTCCACCAGAGACCAAATGGCATAGAAGTTAACAGCTATAGGTCACAGAAAGCCTTCAACAATGAGCGAAACTCATACCGTATAGTCAGCTATAAAAGGCCCCGAAATAATAAGTAAAACAATTCAAACGAGAAAACTAACGGCCTGATCTATGTACAAAACAATAAACAAAAAACAAATATGATATACAGCAACAAACGACAACCATTGAATTACATGCAACTGACTTGGGACAGGCACATACAGAATGCGGTGGGTTTAAACATGTACCCAACCCTCCCCTAACCTGAGACAGTGGTGTGACAGCACAACATACGAACAAACTGTAAAAATAAGTAGTAATTTGCTTAACTCAAAAGATCTCTACGAGGCACAAACATAACTTACATAAAAACAATAGACAAAAAACACCGAAATAAGAGTACTCGCAGTTACTGGAAGCTAGTTCAAAGTCAATTACAACCTTTGAATAAATCATGTTCTCACAGACTAAAGTAT